GAAGGGGAGCAAAGATGATGGAGGCGTGAGGGAAAGAGGCGCGAATGGGCAAGTCGATGTGCTGTCTGCGTGTGCGATGAGCAGAGATTGTGAGGGGGCAAGATGTGAGGAAGGCAGGGTGGTGCGAAGGGGAAGGAGGGTGGGAGAGAGAAGGAGAGAGGGGGATGGATCGAGCGAGGGGCACGCGCGCCGCGGTTGACGATGGGCGACTCACCTTAAGAGCTAGAGGCTAGGTGCGAGGATCGGGGAGCGTGGCCAAATGAAGTTGCGCGGACCGCGGTCGGGGCGGGTTTTGGGCGATGCGCGAAGGCAAGAAGACAAAGCAGGAGAAGATGCAGGGCTGTCGTTGGAAGCGGCCAAAGCGGCGGATTGCGAGGTCCAAGCTGAGAAAGTACAAGCGGCGGGGCCCTAAACACGTCGAAACTGAGGCGGCGAGCCAAGCCAAGGATTGCGATGGTGATGGATAGGGTGGGAGCGCGGGACGGACGAGATGAAGGTGGTCGGAGAGATGGTGGCGGATGTCGGGTTGACAGGAGATGCAGTCGGGATGGAGATGGGATGCATGCAAGCCACAGAGCCGGCCTGTGGATCGGAAGTGAAATGAGCGCGATGAAACGAGTGTGGCGCAGATGGCAAGCGGGTCGGCGAGTAGAGTAAAGATGACGGGAGTGGAGAGGATGCGATGGGGAAGAGAAGCTAGCAGCGGCAAGGGAGGGAGAGGGCCGATTGGTGTAGAGCCGTTCGACGAGCCAGCGGACGAAGTGCTTGTGTTGGCTTCTTTGCGAGCCAAGTGCTGTATTGGGCGGTAGAAGAAGAAGGAGGGAGGGGGGTATGATGAACGACGTGCAGAGGTTTGGTGTGCAACGAGGACGAGCCAGGTACAGCGCCATACGAACTTGATCTCAACCAAGCACATGCTTTCGTGCTTTCGTCGACTCGACCTTGGACTCAACCTCGCCCGCCTCGCCTCGGCCACTCGGAGCTCCTCAGTTGCGGCCGGCAGTGCAGCGACGGGCTGCGATGCACACACGCTCAATCCAGGCCCGAGCCCGAGCCTAAGGCGCCTCTGCTCCGCCACCTCGCGCTCCAAAAACAAAAACAAAAAGAAATCCAAAAAGTGGGGACCACTCGAATCAGACTGCACACCGGCACATCCGTTCGTTAGAGCGGCGAGAAAAGAGAAAAAAAAAGAAGGAAAACACGCGCCCTCGGACCCACGCCCCGCCGCCGCCGCCGCCCAAAGCAGCTCGGCGTGAAACTCGACAACGGAGATGCGACGCTTGCCACCAACCGGTGCAAGGCGAGGCACAATCAGCTGTCCCACGTCGGCGCACTGTAGTGAACCGCCAGCATCAACTCCGCTTGCACTCTCGTGTCCTGTGCAGAGCGCCTTCCAAAATCAGGACCGAGGACGCGCTGCCAAGCGAGAGCAACACTGAATCAAAATCGGCTGCAGAGAAAAAAAAAGACGCACGGTTGCTCGCCCCCTGGTGTGGAAAATGCCCCCAAATTCCAGGCAACCGGGCACGATGCCAGCAAGGTCCCCTCGAAATCGGCTTTCTCTTTGCCAGCACAGCACAAGCACGCGCACCAACCAGGCTTTGCTGCTGCACGCCCTCGTTTGCCGGTGTCGCAACGAACCACCGCCGAAGCTCGCATCACTGCAGGCCATCCGTATCCGTACAACGAGCGAGCGGAGCCCGAATTAGTAGTGGGTGTGTGTCTGTGTGCTGTAGCTGGGCTCAACTCGACACCGTGCACCGCGGACAGAACATTCGACTGCACATTCAGCCCCAACTCGCCCTCCCCATCCCAGCAGAGTAGAGGTTATGCCAGTGATGGTACGCATCGGCAAGCCGCCTTCCGCATACGCTCGATAGGGGCACAGAGCTGCCGGGCCCAAGAACCAAGGAACCGCTAAGGCTTCGGCAGAGCGCATGGTGCCCGCCCAACCGAGGCGCCATGCACCCCGCCGATCCGATCGCTTTCCCGCGCCGCGCCCCGCCGCTGCAAAATAGACACGTCTCAGCGCCTCGACCCGCAACAGCCTCTACCGCTTCTGCCCTTCACATGGCCTCACTCACTAAATTGAACTCATCCTTTCAGACTCGCTCCTATGGTGCGAAGTAGGCCAGTCTGCCATCGGATGATGACTAGACAGTCGCTCCGAGCGGCAACAACGGCCTTCCTGCGTGCAACACAGTTACGCTTGGTTGCAGGCTCGGGCAAGTTGCACCGTCGTCTCAGCAACCAGAGCGACAACCCGAATTGGCTCAGTGACAAAGCGTCAAATCGGCGATGGTCCAAAAATATCTCGATCTAACACACTCAAATTGACTTTTCCTCGTGCAACAAACGCGGAAGTCGGGTCTGAGCCAGACGCAACTCCAGAGTGCACAGAAGACGAGCCAAAGCCCAACTCGCCTCTCCACCTACCTCTGTCCTCCCTCCACCTCGCCCATCACATCGACTCGGCAGCAGCAGCAGCAGCAGCAAGCTCGCCACCTACCTGGACCGGCTCGTGCTGTGATCATCTGAATCCACGTCCTGACTCGTGCGGCAATGCCCCGTTGACTCGCCCCACCATCAACACGCACGCACGCACGCCTGGCTCGGCTCGGCTCCCGCTCCCCAGACTCCTCTCGCCAACCATGTCGATAGACACTCCTGCAAAGCGTCCGCGCAACAGCGACGCCTCTCCCCGCTCACACAAGCGCGTCGCCCGCAAGCCCCTCTCCACGCAACAACGCCAGTCACTCCGCCATGCACTCTCTCTCGAAAACGGCATCGACGTCGCCGAGCAGCTCCAGCGCCTCACACGCGGCCAAGCCGACCTGGATCAGATCGACTGGTCCTCTCAAAATCTCATCGCAACCGCCTCGCCATCCTCCAGCTTGGCTTCCACTTCTTCTTCCGCCAGCGCACATGTGATCGTACGATACCCCGTGCCGCAGTCGTCCAAGCACTCCCTCAGGCCCTCTCACCTCTACCCGCACCAGCCCTACTTTTCGGCCACGCCCATCGCTGGGCCATCCCAACCACGCACTCCTAGCGTACGCTACGACGATCCACGCCACGTCGCCTTCAGTCCTTGCGGCTTCTACCTCTGCGCCTACTTTCCTGCTCAGCCCGCCAACACGCCGTCAGCATCCCTCCCTCCGTCGCTACCACCGCTGCCTTCGGACGTGCAGATCGGCCAGAACAGCGGCGAGCCCATGGCTGCTACGGCGTCCGAGACCAGCATCCCGACGATCAACCAGCTCAGCGGCGCACATGCTCCGCTAGACGCATCCTTGGCCGCCTCCACCAACCCATCGGTCGCACACACAACTGCAGCAGCATCTCTCGGCTCGGCCTCGGAGCCTTCGGGTGTATTCTGCATATGGTCACGAGCCGAGACTGCCGCTCTGAACGACTGGAAGCTCGTCGACTCCATCCCCGTCGACAACATACAGCATCCAGCTCCTACAGCCGCGGCGGGCAAGATGGACAACGTGCTCAAGGTCAACGACAAGGGCCAACAGATCCTCAAGGACGGCAGCCGCGCATCACCTGCATCCAAGGACGGCGTGCACCTTCACGCCGGTGTAGCCAAGGTGGTCTGGCTCAATCAGAGGCGCCGAGTCGTGCTCTCAACCGCATCGTCCGCCACAAGCCACTACGGAGGTGCACCGTTCGAGCGGCTCTCGTCGCGCGGTCCCACCTGTGTGCCCGCCGCCACAGCACCCAACGACGAGGCTGGCCCCGACAAAGACCTTGCGCTGGTCGTGTTCGGCCAGCGCGGTCAGGTGACGCTGCTGTGCCGACGCAACGCCAACACCAACGATTCCTCCGTCGACACCACCAAAGCGCGCACCAAGTTCTTCACCACCGTGCTGCAGTCCGATCTGCACACGCCCAGGGTACAGCCGTCGCCCATCACGCTCGATTCGTCCACAGGCACAGAGCGCCCGGATGGCGTGGGCTCAGCTTATGCGTCGCTGTTCGCGGGCGAGGCGGAAGGAGCCGAGGATGGCATGCAGTACGCTCACGACGCACGCATCTCGCACCTGGCGGTGGGGATGCCAGCCGACGAGCCGGTGCTGCTGGTTGCCTCGAAGCGCACGTCGGCAGCAGCAGCGCTTGTGGACCTCGCCGAGATCACCGTCGACCTGCGTGCCGATGCGGTCACAATGACCACGCGGCCGCTCCAGCCAATTTCGCTCACGCCAGTCGAACCGGCCTCGAGCGACGGTGCGACAGCAGAGCCGGCGGGGGTCCCGGGCGACGACGCACTCACCCTGCTCACGTGGGCCGAGGTGGATGCCAAAGAGCCCTCGGGCGCGGCAGCGGGCAAGACCGACTCGCTCCGGTTGCTGGCTTGCTGGTCGCACCTCGACGCTGCGAGCGGAGAGGACAAGGAGGACGGCATGGGTATGCACAGTAGCCTGGCGGTGTGGGATCTGTACAAGGCCGAGACGGAGCTGAGCGAGGCGTTTGCGACGCTCGAGTGTCGCAAGGCGGGTCAGGCTCCTGCGTGGCTCGATTGGCAGCTGCGCTTTGCGAGCGCAAAAACGCTGCGCGGCCAGCTCATCACTTCGCTCGTCACCCCCCGTGCGCTGGTGGGTGCCAACACGGCCATCCTCACTTCACTCAGCGCGGCACAGGGCAACCCAGGCCTGCTTTCGGAGCAGCTGGCAATGGTTGATCTGCACACGCTCGAGCTCGCGCAACGTGTGCCAGTTCCGCCACGCGCGCTGCTGCGATGCTCCCGCCCAGTGGTCTCGGCCAACGGCGCGCTCATCGCCGTCTTTGCGCACACACACACCGGCGCAACCGCCGCGATCGTCATGTGGAAGCTCCCCTGGCACTCCTCCAAGCCCGCCACGGACGATGCGACCAAGCCATCGGTGGATGGGGGGAGCGAGGAGAGGGCGAGGATGGTCCAGCTGCTGGCGCTGTCGTGCGTGCGCGCGAGTGACGCATCGGACATCAGCCGCGTGTACGGCGCAAGCGCGGGTGCCGACGACGCCAAGCTGCTCGTTGACGTGGCCGACGTGCTGAAGATCACCGACTCGAAGCGGCAGGACGTGCTGGTCAAGATCGAGGGCGCTACAGCCAAAGGCCCTAGTCACGATACCAACTCGATCCCTTTCCACCAGGCTCTGCGGCTGCTCAAGATCCGCATGGCCATCGCTAGCCCTGCATCGCCCAGCGTGCGGTTGCAGAAGTTGGTGTTGGAGCTTGGCTTGTGTTATCAGGTCCTGCGATTCGCGCGCGTATCCACACAGGTGACTACGACGGCCAAGGACGATGGCAAGAAGAAAGGCAAGCCTGCGGGTGGGGAGATGCGACCGCGCGTGTACTACCGCCTCGAAAGCGTGTGGCCGCTCCTTGCGCAGCTGCAGTGGCTGCTTGGTCTGCTGGACGGCGTAAGTAAACTTTCGCTCGCCACGGTGGCAGCGGGATCGCAGGTCGACGGCGACAGCACGCGAGGGGAGGTGTTCGAGGAGCAATTCGTGCGCATGTTGGCCAAGCCTACGCCGCGCCGGTTGGTGCTGCACATCGTCGCGCACCTAGTCGACTTTGTGCAGTGGGTCGAGAGTTCGGAGCGCGCCGAGAACCTGCCGCCGCCGACGGGAGCGAGTGTAGGCGACGAGATCGGGTTCCTTGCCAATGCTGCCACGCGCGGCGTGCTGGCGGTGAGCGAGCAGATGGCTCTGGCGCGCGAGGCGCTTGCCCACATCACGCGCAGCGCCTCGATCGACCTGGCCGACTTTGCGCACCTGCTAGCCAGCATGGAGGCGGATTCCGGTGCGGCGCCCACAGCGCGAGCTAGGGAGACCGACCGATTCTGGTGGGCCACGCTGGGCGGAGGCAGCTTGGGCGAGCAAGGCGAGGTGAAAGCGGACGAAGGGGTGCCGACCAAGTTGCTGGGTCTGCTTGGGGATGCACAGTCTGGAGCGCTCGTGGATGTTCTGCCGCTCTTCATCGTGCCGACGGATATCACCGACGAACGCAGTGTACTGTACGATGCGAGTGGGGACGCGGCGCACGCTGCATCTCCGCTCGTAGAAGCCCTAGGTGCCATGGCAGCCAAGCGCGACTCTACGCGCGACATCATGCGCAAGACCACCTTACGCGCCGCCGTGAGCCAGTCGACCATCATCAACGACTCGGCTACGATCATCCGGAGCAGCGCCCCGCGCACATCGACCGAGGGCGAGGTTCGCGTGGACCTCATGCGTGCCAAACGATGCGTCCGATGCGGGGCTTTATCTCAAGACGCCGTACACGCCACCTACGCCATGCCCGCTCCGCAACCGCTGCCGAACGGGATGGTGCTCGACGCGACGCTGCCGGCGAATGTGCAGATGCAGATGCAGATGCAAATGCACATGCACATGGTCCAAGCCGGTCTTCCTGCGCCTCCGACCATGGCACCGCTTCCGCCTCCCGCCCTGGTGGGGATTGAGGCACTCGACACTCGCACGCGCAACTGTCTCTGCGGTGGCACGTGGTGGGTTCTGTAATGCAATCTAGTACGGAAGAGCTCCAGACGGGTGTGAGGGGTCAAAGTCGCCGAAACACGGCGGAAAGGCGTCTAGGCTGCGGCCGTTGATGCGCCGCAAGCGCGGGCAGGATTCGACGAAGCCGCCGAAACTGGGCGCGGTGTTTTGCTGCGGCATGGGATCGATCTCGAGCACGAGCAGGTGCGGGAGGTGGGCGGTGAGCGTGGTCCAGAGCGCGTCAAAGTGGCCGAAAGCTCCACTGATGTCGAGTACAAGTCGGAGGTGCGTGAGTGTCGCAGCGGCTGAAAGGATGGCGAGCGAGAGTGGAGGTTCGGGTGTGACGGCGTAGAGGTCGAGACAGGTGAGGCCGACGAAACACCCTGCGGAGATGAGCGATGCTTGGTGGAGAAGCGATGTTTTGGATGAGGATAGGCTCAGATGTCGCAACCTACTCATCCCCGTCGACACTGGACCAGGAGCAGGTGCAGGGTCGTCGGTGGGAGACGCATCGAGATACAGATGCTGAGCTGTTCGACGTGGTACTCGCTGCAACACTTGCTCTTTCGGAACCTCGCTAACCAGATCCTGCAACATCGAATCGGCTCTTGCTCTAATCACCTCCACGGCGCCTTTTGGCAGGAGCGTGCTATCGTACCCCGTCATCCTAAGCACCTCCAACCCCTCTAGACTCGCCCAACCGCTGTGGCCTTGATAAAACATGCGCCCATCCACCTCGAGGCTGCGCAGCGACTTGGCGAGCAACGGCCAGAGTGCGGGACTGGGTGCGCACTCTGCCGACCACGCTAGATGCTCCACCTGCCTGGTGCGGGGTAAATCCATGGCGCGCAGGAGCGCCAGCAGATACGTCTGGTCCAGCTCGGCGTACTTGTCCGGCAGCGCCACGACGATGCTGCGAATGTGCCCCAGCGGATGCCTCAACCCTCCCTCCTGACCGAGACGCGAGCGGAGCGACATTGTGTCGTAGGCGGCTAGCAGAGAGGAAAGACGTGGAAGTGTCTGGGGCGTGCGGATGGTGAGCGTGTGCCAGATGAGCGGCACGAGCGTATTGTGGAAGCTGCGCGATGCAGATGCCAGCCCAAGCAACGCCGATAATCCCACGCCCGCCGTAGCCGTGCACGGAAGCGCATCTGTATGCGCGCAGGGCAGCGAGCTCGTGGTATGGATGCGCGACGGTGCGAGATGCGTGCCGATCTGAAAGATGATTTCAGCCGGCAGGTTCGGCACACGACCCGATTCTGTTGGTTTCGTCGACCGCCGTGTCGTGCCACCAGGACCGCTGGCAGCCGAAGTTGCAGCAGTGCTGTGATTCAAGCACCCCGTGGCAGCGGGCGTGATCTTGTGCGTGGTTCGGAGTGCGGTCCCCGACGGCATGCGGAGCGCATCCATGAGGCGGACAGCGTCAGCCACAGTGGGCTGTGCAGGCGGGCTGGCCATGTTCGGCTCGCACCTTGCCTTCTCTTCACATCGCACCTGCGCGCTTTGTCTGTGCACAAGACGTTGACGAGACCAGACGCAGCTCCTGGGCGAACAGAGCCGGTCCGAGATGATGGATCGCAAAGCCAGGGTGCAGCTCGGACCGTGCACGAGTGGAGGCATCCAAGCCGACCAAAACGCCGAATTCTTTCCACTGTTAGGCCGTCTGAGCCACTTATCTGACGAAGAAAAATTTCGGCCCGTTGCCGTCGGCTTTGACGGCGAGTCGGCTTCGACAGCTGTCCAATCCGATGGCATCGATCTGGGCTGCGAAATTCTCCGAGCGCAAAGCCGTCTTTGCTTCGGCTCGAACCCTGGCTGTCCGCTACCGCCATGTGCGACGTGCACCCTTGGATGCGCCACTAAAGCCGTCCATCCTTTCCGGTCTCGTCCGTCCAGCAGCGGCGTGCCTGCGCAAACCGTAACGGCGCAGCGACTCGCACACATGGCAAAAACGCCCGCTCCCTCGGCTGGAAGATTTTCATCGGCCAATTTACCGCTTCCCTCTCATTTCTCCGAACCCGCAAACGTGGCGCAAGCGTGCGCAGGCCTGTCCGACCCCTCTCCGATAGCGCACAAGTGTCGGACTTGACGGTCGGCCCGAGCTTCTGCTTCTGCTATGCGGTACAGGCGAAAGAATCTTTTGACATCCAGCAGCCGTGTCACGTCTTGGTGCGCGCACCGGCTTGAGCCGTCCTATCGTAGCCTGCGCCTCGTTGATGAGGGTGGTGACAGGTTGAGCTTGTTCCAGTCCTAAAGATGCGCTTGTGTCGTCCTTGTTTGCTCCTATACCATCACCCTTCCGCTTCAAGCTACCTTTCCGCACCGGATTCGCCTTCCTGACACGGCGCCTTCGACATGGAGCCAAGCAGGTCTTCAGATGAGCAGTGCTCGTCGTGCTCGACGTCTGCGCCTTCACCGCCGCACTCGAGCTTCGCGTCGGAAGATTCGACTGCAGTCAACACGGCTGTACCCACCCGACGCAACAGTCTCTCACTTGCCGCACACCTGTCTTCAACAGTTCCAGGCACAGCGACGCCGCAAAAGTCGCCTCGTTCAGTACACGGCGGTGTCTCGCCCAAATGTCTCGCCCAGCGTCTGATGCAGCAACAACAACCCCCGTCTGACGCTAGCAAAGGCATGGGCGCACACATCGATACGTGCCCCAACACGCTCGTTGCCAACTCGCCCCGCACCTCGCTCGACAAACCCGACCGCGCTAAACTCGACGTTGACGAGATCGCCAAGATCGAGCGTGACATCGAAAAGGTGGTGACCGAGCCGGGGCCGGCACCCGATGGTGGGCTGCAGGCATGGCTCGTGGTGGCAGGCACGTTCGTGCTGATCATGACCAACTTTGGCCTGCTTACATCGTACGGCGTCTTTCAGACGTACTATCTCTCGCACCAGCTGGCGCACCTGCCGTCATCGACCGTGAGCTGGATCGGCAGCCTGCAGACATTCATGATCCTCGGTGGCTCGTTTGTATTCGGGAAGCTCTCGGACGACTACGGCAGTCGATGGGTCGTGGTATGCGGCAGCGTGATCACCTTCATCTCGATGCTGTGTGTTTCGTTCTGCACCACGCTCGTCCAGCTCATCATGGTCCAAGGAGTGGCATTTGGGTTGGGAGGGAGCATGCTGTTCCTACCCGGGTGTGCGTTGGTCAACCAGTACTTTGACAGGAAGAAAGGTACCGCCATGTCGGTCATCATTGGTGCGGCGAGTTTTGGCGGCATCATTTGGCCGCTTATTTTGCAGGCGCTGTTCGACCATCCCAAGATCGGATTTGCTTGGGGCGTCAGGATCGCCGCGCTACTGCTCGCCATCTTGCTGACGATCAGCAATGTGCTGATGCGACCGAGACTGCCGCCCAACGCGCCGGGCATGCGTCAGCCTTGGTCGCAGGCTTGGACACTCCTCACCACGGACGTGCGCACCTACACGCTGTTCGTCGTCGGCACGGGAGTGCTGTTCATCAACTTCTTCGTCCCGTTCTTCACCATCGCATCGTACGCAAAGCGGGTCGGGTTTAGCCCGGCCATGGCGACACACATGGTGGCCATCATGAACGCTGCCAGCATGGTGGGTCGTCTGGTGTCCGGCCCGCTCGCGGACAGGTACGGCCGCTTCAACGTGCTCTCGCTCTTTGGCATGAGCTCCGTCCTGGCCCTCATCCTCTTCTGGCCAATCCCCGGCCTCACACTCACAAAGGCCGGTGTGGTGACGCTGTCGATCACGTACGGTGTCGCGTCGGGAGGTAGCATCGCCACCGTGTCGTCGTGCGTCGCGCAGATCTCGCCCAGACACGCAGGGGCCCGTCTCGGGCTCATGTGGACCATCGCTGCCCCGGGCACCCTCGTCGGACCAGTCATCTCCACCACACTCGTCAACAAGATGGACGGCAAATACACCGCGCTCGCCGTCTGGGCGGCAGGCACCACCCTCGTCGGCTCGATCATCATCACGCGCGTCCGCTTCCATCTCGCAAAAGGCCAGTGGCGAGCCAAGGTGTAGAACCGCAACTCCCCATCGCATCGTTCCGTAACATCTTTACCCATTGTACGCATAATCTGCATCTGTATACTAGTTCATGAATCGCAATGTCGTTGTAAGCATTCTACTGGCGCTTGCCGGCGCCGAGGAAGTCGAGCATGTGGCGCGCGGTGGCCTCGGCATGGGTGAGCACGATAAAGTGGCCGCCTCCGGGGATGACGGCGAGGTCAATTTGGCCAAAGTACTTTGCCGTGCTCATCGGCACCACGTCGTCCTTGTCGCCCCAGATGACGCGCAGCCGCGAGCCAAAGTCGCGCACCACGGCGCGGTGCACCTCCTGCGCATTGAAGATGGGCCCGTCCTGCAGCGACGAGGCGAAGCTGAACTTGTAGCCCGGATGGTACTCTGCCTGCCACCACGCCAGCGAGCCCTTGGGCGGCGTGGGCAGGAGCGGCACGAAACGCAGGAGGCGCCGCAAGAGGCTGTTGGGCAAGAGGTGCGAGCGGATCAGCTTGACCGCAGGACGCAGGTCGGAGTGAGGCGTGCCGCCTGCCGGGCAGAGCAGGATGAGGCGGTCGACACGCTGCGGATAGTAGTGGGCAAAGTGGGAAGCGATCGGTCCGCCGAGCGACATGCCGCACAGGTCAAACTTGTCCCAGTGCGGCAGGTGCGCGAGCAGGAGCGTGATCTGCGCGACAAAGAGAGCAGCATCGTGCGTCACTTGGGGAGAGTCCGAGTAGCCGCGGCCAAACAGGTCGAAGCAGAGGATGCGGTAGCCGGCCTTGGTGAGGTACGGTGCGATGAGGCTCCAGGCGGGCGAAGGCGTGGAAATGCCGTGCACAAACAAGAGCTTCTTGCCGTCCTCGGGACCGAACTCGTAGTAGCGGATGGTGCCGTACGGCGTGTTGAGGTCGGCACCGTTGGGAAATACGTCGGCCGGATACGGCTGCTCGTGGGTCTTGGCGGGCGCTTTGAGCACTTTGGGGTAGGTGGATCGCATGCGTGCGTTTGAAAGGAGGTACAGGAGCGATGCCGTGCCAGCCGCAGCTGTGAGGGCCACGCGGCCGTCCTGCAGCCGATTTGCGTACGATGACAAGAACGGCATCGTGCAGTTATCCTATGTGAGTAGGAGGAGGATGATGGCGGGTGGGAGAGCCGGCTCGGGCGGCAACTCGGATGTTTCAACAAAGCGGGGGAAACCCTTTTCTGAGGTGCCGCGCTGTGGAGGGACAGCAGCACAGCAGCACAGACCAACGCCAAAAGGCACACGCGCTCGGATCTCGGAACGCCCTGACCAAAGTGTGCTCTCCCTCTTCATCAGCACCGGGAGGTCCGCCTGGCTTCTGCATTGCCACAGTGACTTGCTCCCACATCGCGCCTCATTCGAGCACGATCACAGGCCCGAACGCATCGGTCATAGTAGCTGGCACGCACCGGCCCAAGCACACCATGACGACCGCTACGCCCCTCTCGCTGCCGTTTGTCCTGGGACAGGATGCAAAGCCGGCATCGATACACTCGCCCAAACGGCAATGGAAGCCAGACCGCCCCAACTATCGCGCTTTGCTCACAACCGCACAGCCTCAACAGAAAAGTGCTGCGTCGTCCTCGGCACCTTTGTCTCGTCTCCAGGGCAGCGCCAAAGCTGCTGCGCAGCACGTCGATGTCGACCAGCTCGAGGCCGACCTGGATGAATGGGGGCTGCCTGCTATCGATGCATCCGATTCCTCCTCATCAGATACACCTCGACTATCCACTCCCTCGGCAGCGCTCTCCTACGACGAAAACTCGGCCACGCACAACCATCCTCGCTTTCAATCTCGGCGTCCTGACGGCAACGCCAGCTTCACCGCCCTGGATCAATGGGATCCTTCCATCTCCTTCGCTCCATTCGCATCAAATGCACTCCAGCCAGACGATCTTGAATCAAGACAGACTCCAACTGCACCTTCCGGCTACGATCCCGGACTGGGCCGAGTGGTTGCTGTTGGGCGAACAGATGGCACTGTCTCCATCTACCGTGCTTACGGCCGCATCGAGGACTACGACTCCTTCTCTCGGACAGATCGATCCAACCAATGTATCGAGCATACAATCACAGCATCTGCCTCCGCATCTTCCATCGTCTCGAGCGCAAGTGCCCTAGCTTCACGCCGATCCTCCAACGTCTCCAATCCCTCTCTTCTTCGCAGCCCCGACCTCGAAGCTCCGGCGATCAGGCTCACGTCTTCTGTCCGATCGCCGACATCTGCCGGACGTGATGCGAGCCCACTATTATCCACACTCTCGCCGGTCGAGCGCTCCTCCCTTGCCGCTCGCTCTACAGTGTCTGCAGCGTCCATCAGCTCCACCATCGCAGCCAACGTCCAGCTCGACGAAGGCGCTCCCGCTAGCTCTCTACAGAGCAATATCACTGCAACCGGTCATACTGCAGACCGCTCCAACTCGGACCGAGCCGAGAACCGCCTCGAACTGCAGATGGCTGCTGCAGAGCGCAACGACCACCAGCATGGCGTCGTCGGAGGCGTCATCGAGCGTCTCGGCTTGGCTTCACACACTCACTCTTCCTCGCAGCATCAGCATTCTCTTCCCTCCATACAGGACGCTCGCCCATCGCATCATCGCCGCTCGACTTCCAGGCGCCCCTCTGTCGGCGAGAACTCTGACATGCCATCCCCGCTGGCAAAGCTGACAGAAGTTGCCAAAACGTCGACACCAGCAAAGGCAAATCAGTCCAGCGCGTCGCCGCGTTCGGATGCTCCGATCAAGCGCTCCGATTCCGAAGCTTGGCTACATGACCCAACACGCGGCCGCTTCTGTCCAGTCATGACCTTGCTCACTCGCGACCGCTCTCCCGTGGTTGCATTGCGCCTCGTGCCAATGCCCTCCCCTCCAACTCCTTCTGCAGAGGCCGATGGAAACAATCGAGTCGCTGCTGCCACCCGTCTCGGCAACATCGCTTTGCTTGTGGTTCAAGCCGCTGGAAACGTCTCGCTGTGGTCCATATTGGAAGGCGCGATGCTGTGGCAATTCGACCTCACCGCTGCCAATGTCGTCTCGGATCCTTCCGATGCAGTCGAGGCGGCTATCAAGGACGCATCCGTCTCGCTCAATGTCATGCACTCCCTCGGGCGACAGCTTCCAGCATCCATCGGCACGCCCCTCGTTCGTAGCCCCGCAGGATCCGCCCGAGCATCCCCGCGCCCAACCTTTGCGGGCGGCGACGCGAGCATGAGGAGATCCATGCTGCGCTCCGCCTTAAGCGGCCAAGGCGCGGCGTCGTTCTCCAGGCTTCGTGACGCCTACGGTGTTCAGATGGACGACTCGGTCCAGATCCTGCAATCCTCCTATGGACCTCTTGCCCTGCTCTGGGATTCGCACTCATCCTCAGCCTTGATCATCGACCTTTCCAACGGTCGCCTCATGCTTCACGAGACTCTAGGTGATGTGCATGCTGCAAGTCGTCCGAGCCTGCTCTCAATACCCGGCTCCGAAGATCGCCTAGGTCTAGCCTGGTTCGATTCAAGCTCAGCAAAGCTCCAGAAGAGGTTGCTTCGTTTCTCGCCCTCTCCAACCCTGGCCGTCCCGGGCGTCGAGGACGCTTCTCTTCCGCCGGCCAAGCTCGCTGCAGTCTCACTCGAGGACCCGGATGATGCAGACTCGACGGCGAGCCTGCAGTGCGACTTGTCTAGCCTTTCCGACCCCGTGGACAGGGTCTACCTCCTTCCCGGGCGGGTGATCATCCTGAGTGGAGCAAGACTTGCAATCTTGACTCCCGGCGGCGGCGACGCAAAATTCCTGCAGGAATCCGATTCGGAAGCTTTCACCAAAGTATGCGGCTCTAGTAGGGACTCGCAACATCTCCTGGTGCGCACTTCATCGGCAATTGCCACGCTCGAGTTGGTGTCTGGCACGTTCAAGCGTGCTGCACAGCCAGACGGTGCCAGCCAGACGGAACCTTCCAACCCTGCAAATCCTGTGAACAGTCTGCCAGCGGGCCGCTTGAATCTGGCTTGGAATTTGCCCGGATCTGGCGCCCTGCTTGACAAAGTGTTCCTGTTGCAGCCACTTGCCAGCCAATCTCGCTCAACAGAGCCAATGTCTCGCAACTCGGCCACGCCGAAGGAGCTTGCAGCTCTCGATCTTCGAGACCTTCATGTGGAGGACCTGCTCTCGGCACCAGGCACCCCTTCTGCGGATGCGGCTGCATCGAGTGCCCCTCAACCTCCTCAGCTTGGCGGATTGGATGCCAAGGACAATCGCATCACCGCGGTCTTGCCTCTCAGTCTCGAGAGGATTGCAGCTGCAAGGTCCGGCGGGATCAGCGTCTCGCCGCTCTCGTCGCTAGCTGCAAGTGCGTTGGGCGATGGTGCCTCGCAGTCTGCATCGATGCCCAACAGCCTTGGCGGGGATCACGAGATTTGCCTGCTCCGCTCGGCCACGGCTCCTCGGTCCGGCCATCGTCTCATCATCGGAGGAACACTGCAAGGAGAGGTCGGGTTTTGGACCGTGCCTGCAGCCGGCGCTCAAGACAGCACCCACCCGGCGCTCGAAGCGGCATTGTCGGTGTCGACTACACCTGTGGAGGCGCTTGTGGTGTTTGGAGACGAGGACAACACCATCCGTCTGCATGGCTGTGCGGCGTGCATCTGCGCGGACAGCTCAGTGACGGTGGTGGTGCTCGAAGGCTTCCGTAAGCTCTACACGGTCCCGGGCAGAGGTGCGCGTCTTACGTCGCTGGCGGTGCGCGCAGACGACCTACTTTTGACGTACGACGACGGGAAAGCGCGTGTGTGGGATCTGCGTTCGCAGGAGCTGCGCCGCAGCATTGCAACGGATCAGGCACAGGCGCTGGTCGAGGACGGAAAGGGATGGTGGAGCGTCAAGACGATCGAGCCGTACAATCCTCTACACTCGGGCACAACCGGTGTCCTCTCGCAGCTCGCGGCTGCCAGAGGCGAGGCGGCTGCGACACTGCTGGTCGACTTTCGACGCGCGATCGAGGCTGCCGCACGTCCGATGCGTGGTGGCATGCCAACGTCAGGGAACGAGATCAGCTCAGCCGTTCCAGGCGGAAAGTCGACCACAGCCTCATTGCAGCCGCCAGCAAGGCTGCGGACAGAGCCGGACTCGGATGCCAACGCTGGCTCGCCCATCAGCCTCGGCTCCCCCGCCGCGCGCAAGGCTGTCAACATTGTGCGTCCGTTGCTACCCGTCGTCTATCCCACGGGCCTGGATGCGGACATCGACGCCAAGCTGGCCGTGCTACTCAACTTGGACGAGCCAGGATCGTTGAACACGCCGAACGCAAAAGGCGGAGCTTTCCATGTCGGCTTGCTCTCGCCTCCCGACGCGCTCATGGTCGCTGGAGCAGGCGCGACTTCTGGTGGCGAGCAGACGGCGAAACAGGCATGGAAGCTGAGCTCACGGCTGACGACGACACGCCTGCTGATCGCATCGGCGCTTGTGCGCGTGTTGGGCAACGTGAGCGAGCTGGCGGATATCGCGGAGGATCTGCAGCGGTTTGTGGATGATGAGCTGCAGCTCTCGACGCTCGTCGGCGTGGGCTTCCGTGGGATCACGCTGGACGAGCTCGTGCCGTACTGGCTGGACTCGAACTTGGAGCTTCAAAGCGCGGCTCATGCCATGTTCCAAAGCGCTCTGGCGCGGCTGGAACAGAGCGAGCTGGACGAAGTGTGCTCCAAGTGGCATCCACTGCTCGGAGCGGCAAGATCCGAAGCGCTGGCAGATCGAGCACGAGGCGACGGCAAGGCAGCGAGCGTCTTGGGAGAGGCGACGCCGTCGACGCGGGCCCTTGCGCTCCTTGGCAGCATTGCTGTGGAGCGATACGCGTGTCTGTCGCCGCGGCTGCTCAAGGACATTGCGAGCACGGTGCACAGTGCGATTGTCGGGGATCGGGGCAGCGAGATGCGGACGGGCGAGGAGCTGCAGAAGCTGGCGGTGGCGGTGGAGCTGTGTCGCCGAGGCTTTTCGATGTGGCAGCACTACTTTGATGCGACCGAGGTGGTGCGGGCGCTGTTTGCGCTCAGCACGTCGACGTCGGCGAGCAGCAGCGGCGAAAGCGAGCTGCGCGCATTGGCGCGGTCAGCGACATTGCAGATCGCGGCTGAAAACACGCCGCTATTCATGACGACGCTGTCGCTCGACATCCTGCATGCGCGCTCGGCTGCGCACTGTGCGGCGACGATGCGACTGGTGGCGTTCATGGTGCGCAAGCGACCTGCGGTGCTGGTGGCCAATCTGCCGAGGCTGGCGGAGGCGGTGGTGAAGTCGCTGGATCCGACGCATACGACGATGCGGGAAGCGGTTGTGAACGCGGCGACGGTGATGATCTCGGAGCTGGTGTCGACGTATCCGAGCATCAGCTTTTTTGGGGCGGGGCAGAGGCTGGCGGTGGGCACGCACGAGGGCGCGGTGATCATGTACGATCTCAAGACGGCGACGCGTCTGTACGTGCTCGAGGGCCACCGCCGACGTGCGGATGCGGTGAGCTTCAGCCCGGACGGCCGACGACTCGTGACGATGAGCCTGGAGGAAGGGCGTGTGCTGGTGTGGAAGACCTCGTCGGGTTTCAGCAGCTTCTTTTCGCCGGGACAGATGCCACGCCAGGGTGCCACCGACGCCAAGCTGACGGACGGAGCGTACAAGGCGTTCCTCTTCCACGTGGGAGATCCGCAAGACGTTGCGTCACGCAAGGCGCCTGCACAAGCGAGCGGTGCAACGGAGGAGCCCGATTTTGTCGGCTTTGATCGCATCGGCTTCCACTGGAACACCGAACGCAGCGTACGCGTCGAGATCGGCGAGACGCAGCTCAACATCAGCGTGGATTGATGGGGTCCAGGTGCCGTACAGTAGTCAGTCCGATAGACCCTGCAGCAATGCATGTGCTTGTCCACGCTGCGCTGAGTGCATGCTGCATGTGGCCATCTTCGCTACGAGCACGAAGCTCTGGGATGAAAAAAATTTAGGCATTGTTAGACTCGTGATATTTGCGGAGTAGCGTAAAAAAAGAAAGCCAGCAGCGGAGATTTTTGGGCGAGCATCAGCACGTGAGTGGACTGTGACGGGGCGCGAGAAGCGAGACAGGGGCGGCGCGGCGGCCCAAAAAGGGGTCCCACCGCCCAAATGCATCTGCGCGGCACCCCTGAGTGACCGCATCTTGCCCTCAATCCTGGTGGGTCGACGTCGACTCCATCTTCCGTCTCGGGCACAATGCAAAGACCCTACATACATACGTCTGTAGCATGCTGCTTGTCGTACGGAGAGCCGTAGCAGATACCGTAGTCTCATAGTCTGCGAGACCGCCTTCGTCGGCTTGGTGTGGGGGAACGCACGGATGGGTGGAGGCAGGGTCGCGTAGAATCGTCAGTCAACCCTACACACCCAAGCTGCCAAAAAAAAACTCGCCGTGTCGGACAGCCAGGAAAGAAGTTGTGCAGAGACCAACACTCCGCTCCACGGCCCCTGTCAATTTTGGAACTAGGCGCGCCCGCGCTGCTCCTATTCGGCATGATGCTACGGTGCAGGCGTGCGCGCCCATCTTGGCTGAGTTTCTACGCCGTCCAGGGCTCTCTTGCTTGCCGCTGCATGGGAGTTGGAATCGACTGCCGTTGAAGCTCCGGCAGATGGCTGCACGTCCCCCCGCTCGGCACCCGAGCTCTCTTTGCCGCCATCATCCGTTGCTATCCTTTGCCTTCCATCCACTCTCCTTGCATTGCTCCCACCACCATCCCTTGTAGCCTAATCATACCTGCGACGACCACGATACGCGCCTGACACGCGCGCGCTAACGAACACACACGCACATGGCCCACTACTCTAGACCGGCTTCGGCTGCCGGTCATGCTCCCGACCAGAATGACCTTTCCAACCAATACCCCTTCTACCCGGACCCGGACCTCATCCAAGGCAGCGCTGCCAACACGTCGTTCGCCAATCCATACGAGGCGTCGGCAGCCTCGCACACCTCGCCCTTTTCGGACGCACACGCTGCCCAGGCTTCCATGCTGCCACTTCAAAACCAGCAGCCACACCACCCGCAAATGACCATCAGCATCGAGCAGCAGAGACAGGCGCACATGCCCCAGCTCAGCGAGAGCTTCTACAGCCAGGCCGCGTACGCGCTTGCAAGCCCACCGCCCGCGGCCACCAGCCCCGTGCGTGGCCTCGCTACGCTGCCCGAGTACTCGCAGCCACCACCCGCCGACGGCTACTCGTACTACAACCAGCAGTCCGCCGGCGTGCCCAGCGCTGCGGGCCACTACTCGTCGCTCGGTCACGGCGAGGAGGAGGACGACGACGACGATGCAGACACCAAGTACTCGCCCAACTCGGTGTACGACGAGAAGCACGACTATGCGGTCGGCAGGGCGGCCGGCATGGCGTACCTCCAAAGCCCGTATGCGCAGGTCGAGACGAACGACGACGAGGACATCGACGATCCTTACAGCGCGCTCACCCGCGATACCGCCTTCGGTGGCCACGAACACCAGCACAGCGACCAGAGCCCCTACCCTGCCGGCTCGGGTTTTGCAGGCGCTGCAGCGGCCGGATTCGGTGACAACCACTTTGACACGCAGCACTTTGGCCCCGCTCCCGCGCGTGGAGCCCAGCTGCGTCGCCACAAGACCAAGAAGAACGTACGCCTCACCAAGGGCAACCTCATCCTCGACTGCCCCGTCCCCACCAAGCTGCAGACGTTCCTGACAAGGCGTGCCGAGGACGAGTTTACCACCATGCGCTACTCGGCGGTGACGTGCGATCCGGACGACTTTGCCGCCGAGAGCTTCACGCTGCGTCCGGCGCTGTACGGCCGACACACGGAGCTGTTCATTGCCATCACCATGTACAACGAAGATGAGGTGCTCTTTTGCCGCACCTTCCACGGCGTCATGAAGAACATTGCGCATCTGTGCTCGCGCAACAAGTCGCGCACCTGGGGCAAGGATGGCTGGAAGAAGGTGGTGGTGGCCATCATCTCGGACGGACGCAAGAAGATCCACCCGCGCGTGCTCGACTGCCTCGCCGCTCTCGGTGTCTACCAGGACGGCGTGGCCAAGAACATGGTCGACGGCAAAGAGGTGCAGGCGCATCTGTACGAGTATACAACCCAACTGTCCATCGACTCGAATCTCCAGTTCAAGGGCGCAGAGAGGGGCCTGGTGCCGATGCAGATCATCTTCTGCCTCAAGGAGAAGAACGCCAAGAAGATCAACTCGCACCGCTGGTTCTTC